GGGGGGTGGTCTGTAAGCACAGAGTTAATGTTAAAAGGAGTGTCGATTTAAAAGTTTCTTAAAATCTTCCATTTAATGGGGCGCACAACGGTACTGTTTAAAATTATATCTTATCAGTAATGTGGATGATATGGTTGTTTTTCAAGCTTAAAAAGTGTTTAATTCTGACAATTTCCTCCTTCGTTTTAGAGGCAGAAATAAAAATAGAACCACAATTAAAAATAATCAACTTTATAAAAAGAAGAAGAATGACATCTTTATCAGAGAAAGCTTCCAAGAGTATACTGTTGTCAATCTAACATCCTATAGTCCTACTCTTTAAATAACGGCTACAATCCCTTTAACTATAGGATTGAGTTGATGGATACAGTCCCTTTAACTATAGGATTGAGTTGATGGATATAGTCCCTTCAACTATAGGATTGAGTTGATGGATATAGTCCCTTTAACTATAGGATTAAGTTATGGATACAGTCCCTTTAACTATAGGATTGAGTTGATGGATATAGTCCCTTTAACTATAGGATTGAGTTGATGGATACAGTTCCTTTAACTATAGGATTGATTTGATGGATGTAGTCCCTTTAACTATAGGATTGAGTTGATGGATACAGTCCCTTTAACTATAGGATTGAGTTGATGGATACAATCCCTTTAACTATAGGATTGAGTTGATGGATAAAAGTAGAATTCCTGAAGCTAGAATAGAGCCTAGATATAGATCGTACTGCAGTGAGGAGTACTCAAATATTAAGGTAGCTTTTTACAAATATATTTTAATTCTTTACTTTCAATAAATGTTAAAGAAGTACGTCTGGCCCAGAGCATTCAGCTGATTAATAATCAGTTAGGATTTCAGAAAAATAAATTAATTTAAAAATATGTAAATTTAAAAATATGTAAATTTACAAATACGTAAATTTAAATAAACAGATAAAAAAATCAACAGACAAATTTGGGAAATGTAGTTGTTGTTGTTGTCGTCGTTGTTATTGTTGAATTGTCTTATACGATTTCTGCAATATCTTCCGCTAACGCCGTTAATAATATTGAGATCGTTAACGAGCAGTAACTTTAAAAAACGGAAAATACCATTAACAACACGACAGTTACGTTATAACGTTAACGGTTTAAAAAACCGTTGCTCAAAAATTTCCCTATAAACTTTACTGTACAGCTTGTTCCAGCTGATTGGAAGTCGGCTTTGTACTTGAAATGGGCCGGAGTTTACATTGGTTAACGAACTGCTTGGAACACGTTCCCTGCCCTGCAGAGTTGCAGACACATAATAGATTTATCAGTAAATAAATATTTGAAAAAATATTATAGGCTGAGGAAGAGATCACACAGGGCCAGGGCCCATCTAGACCATTGGACTCTGCAGTAAATTCTGCAGTACATTCTGCAGTAAGTGCTGAAGTACATTCTGCAGTACACTCTCCTGTACACTCTACTGTACACTCTCCTGTACACTCTGCTCTACACTCTACTGTACAATCTGCAGATCAGGTCATTTTTGCAAAGATTGGGCCTCCTTTTTAAAAATATATTTTATAAAAACTAAAAAATGGGGTTTTTAAAATTTCAGTTATTTTGTTTTCCCATTTGTATTTCTGATTTTTAATGTTTTGATTTCTAGAGTCCTCCTCTTGAGATGAACCAGGCAAGGTAGGATTTTTACGTTTTTATACAGTGTTACTCACAAAGGATGAGACTGTAAAGATTACCCAACTTTATTGAAATTTGTCGATTTAAAGATTGATTTATAGTTTTGTTTTTGGTTTCTTTAATGTTGTATTTAAATAGTTTACTAAATGATTAATTGCAAAGAAATGAGCCAGTTTAAGTCTGCAAGAAGCATTAAGTGCAAGAAAAGAGAATAAAGAAATTCCTTGCAGTTATAGTTTCTGAATTCTCATCCTTTTCTGGGAAATATGTAAATATTTATTTTCTGTTTTTACACTTTTTATTTAATCTTGGAATTGTCGATCAACTAATATGAGAAAATTTCGTATTCCGTGTTATACATTTGTAACGTCACGTATAATTGTTCCATTTCTATGTTGCCACCTATATTGTACTTAGCAGAACAATGACGATTGGAAGCCTGATCAATGCCGCAATATCAACCGAGTTCCAGCTCTGCTCTGAGCAACCCTCAGTAACGCTAAACGAAAGAGAAAAGGCCAGGTATAAAGTACATCGTTACCCACGAAAAATAAAACTTAAGTGATGACCTGAAAATCTTAAAATATTACAAAGGAATTAAGTCTTTGATACAAATTCAAATTTTCTAATCTATTTTTTGCAACCTAATGGTGAAATTTACACCATTAGTTCGTATACCTTCTGCCAAAATGTGGTATGCCTTTTTTTGTGTCAATATTATCAATATTGTGGCAATATTATCAATATTTTGGCAATATTATCAATATTGTGGCAATATTATCCATATTGTGGCAATATTATCAATATTGTGGCAATATTATCGATATTATCAACAACACAAAAAAGGCTGACCACATTATAGAAATTCCATAAGAAGACTAGGGTTTAGTGATTTTTACCTAAATTATTCACGATTATACTGTAAATTATAAATTATTTCAGAGATCAAAGACGACATTCAAGCAGTTTTCCGTTATTTGCATTTTTACTAAATAGGGACAAATCAAAGTACACTTCTGACCAACCACAGTTCCGATCATAAGAATTGACGAGGGTCAACCCAGACCGAAATATATTCTCAGTAAAATGTGGAACTTACATCTACTTTATTTACTCTTTGTGGTTTGGTCAAGCATAAACACACAATTTTAAATAGTAATCTCTAGATGAAGGGATTATATGCATTGGAATGATTTTAAAAAAGTTGCAAAGTTTTTGATGACATATTTGCGGATTTTTGAAAATTTTCTTTGAGAAAAAATGTATTCACTACAGTGATAACCAGAAAACTGTAGAATAGGAAGACGACATTATAGCAATACTGAAATGCATTTGATGCTGTTAGAAAGCAAATAGCTTTACTCGTAAATTATTAAATCACTTATTAAGTGAAATGGGTCTGTTTACACTGCTTAATAGCTGTGTCTCATGCTCATTGGACAATTTAAGGTATAAACTTGAGTTTAAAAGTCGACTAACTATTCCAGAGTTTTCTGGTTATCACTTTAGGCAAAAAATGCGCTCTTATGTTACCCTAGGCAAGCCGTTATCTAGGCACAATGTTACAGAGGCAAACTGTTACCTAGGCAAACTGTGACTAGTCAAAATGTCACTAAGCAAAATGTGACAGGCAAAACCGAACTAGGCAAAATGTAGCTGAGCCGATTACATATATACAATGAAGATGACTTTAGGTTTAAGTTTTGAGTTGTATTAAGCAGAGATACACGTAAAAATAGAAGTCTTTTAAATAAGCTTGTTAAAAATTAAAGCTTAAATAAAACTGTTTTTTTCGTTGTACTGATATTATCGCCGACCACTGAAGTTAACTGTGTATTCAGGATTAATGAACTATGTATCGCCTCGAAATCTCTCGATGAACCCTTTAAAGAAGATGAACAGCATGTTGTTATTAACTTTCAGATGGAACCCAAGCTTATCAGGTTAAACTAGATTTTTATGACACTATTGTGCACTTCAGCAATCATGCTTTAATAGTAATTAAAAAAAAACATAATGTACCAAGAAAAGTGCACAAATATTTCACAAAATTACCCATAACACAATAATTTTGGTTCACAGTGCTTTCAAGTTTTTGAACAGAAATTTGTTGTCTTTATCGAGAAAGTTTAAGCATTTTTAGGTAATACTTTGTCCCGAGCTTAAGAGAGGGGCAAAGTTTTTGAACATTTTCATACTTTTATCTCAGGGGAACGGACATTAGCTCCAAACCACGATTTGTCAAATTTGAACCGTAAAATCAAAACATTTGGCTTCTTGTATACTTTTAGGGTAAACATACAGTCAAATTACCTTACAAGGACTACTTTATCTCTCCTTCAAACAAAACTAGCAGAAAAAAAACACAGCAAATTAATGTTTTTAATACTGTTCACGCTTCAGTTTCAGATTTGATAAGTGTGATAGCTTTGAGTTCTAGGTGAGGGCACTGCCCCTCTTCCCTCCCCCCTTGTATACGCCCTGGGAGGGGTGGTAAAAACACTGAATTATTACGGTTTGTTTAGTGTGCTGAACCTGACTAATCTAGCTGTCAAGAGAATCATTAACATGACAAAACAAATATCAGCATTTGCCAATCTATGCCAAGAGGATCAGGTTTATATCCATTCAGTATTTAAAGGCAGTGCTAGCAAAAAATAGGCTATCGTCGAATTGAATTCGATGGTGATCACATCTAATCTTACTTCTATTTGTATACCGTCTATATTACTTCAAGGAGTTGAAATATTTCACTCAGATCATAAATAATTTAATTTAATTTAAAACAAACCATTCAATATTATAACCTATTATAATTAATCGAATTTATTTTTTTATTGAAACGACGATTATTTTGATCGCAACGAGAGCCGAGACACCTAGCGGCCAAATAATCGTTTTCGTAACTAAATTGTATATAAAACAAATAAAAAATATTATTAAATATTAATTTTTTTGAATGCATCAAATCGAAGTCAATTTTAAATATCTGAATGATTTATTTCAAATTTAATTGAATTATTTTCAATATGGGTATTGAACAATGAAATTTTGGGAATTTGTATGGACGCTACGTTCTTTAGTATGAGTCGTGGTTAGCCATTTTCCTAATGGGCCCACATAAAGAAGTAAGATTAGTTGCCATCACCATCGAATTCGATTCAACGTTAGCCTTTACCTTTAATATTTCTCGAATACTCCAATGAAGATCAGTTTTGAACTCAAATAAAAAGTAGAATTATTATGGTGTGCACAGTTTGCCTAATGACGTTTCACCAAAAAAGTTTCACCAAATAACGAGTTCACCCAATATCAACTTTTACCCAATTCTCGTTTCACCCAATACTACGTTTCACCCAACATTTCACACAACTCACATTTCGCCCAAACAACACATATTTAAGAGGTTTAACCCCCCAAAAAAATTCAATAGCCAATTTTATTTTGGATTTATAAAAGTTACATGGTTGAATTTATAAAAGATGTAAGTTTTATATAAGGATACATTTGATATTCTATTTTAGTACACAAGTTAGGCATCATCTTGGAGTCCAAATATGAACTAGCCCCAGCTAGCCCATTCCTAGCCGCAGAGCTTGACCCAGAAATTGTCTTAAGCTCACCTAACTCAAAATAATGTGAGAGACAGCACATTATTTAACATTAAAGAGGCCTTAGCGCTAGGCCTCTAGCCTATCCTAGCCGCAATGCTCAGCCCAGAATTTAAAAAATCTTGTGAGGGACAGCCCATTGTTTAACATTTAAGAGGCTGTAGGGCTCAGCCTCCTAGCCCATCCAGACGAAGGGCTCGGCCCAGAAATTGTCTTAACCCAACCTTACCAAAAATGATATGAGAGACAGTACATTATTCAACATTTATGTAATTAGCTACATGTTTGCAGATTTGGAACAAGAAAGTTGAGGATTTACAACAATTTGCATGAATAGTTATGAGGCATGCTTTGCTTAAATATATAAAAGTCGACACACTGAGATTAAAATTGTTGAACCAATCTAAGAACCTTTCCATGATTGAGGCAAATCAGTCCAGGAGTTTGTAAGTTATGATCTGAAATCGGGCGATATATTCATGTGCAATGTTGTTGACCATAAATCTACCTTCAACCCCCCCCCCCCGTAATGTTGTCTTTACCAAAACCATTCTTGGAGAAGTTCCAATCCAAAGCAATACTCCGGCAATTTCTCTGTACTCCAACAAAAAGAAAACACCAAATAGTGAAACGTTTTTGCCAGTTAATAATAAAATCCACAAATAACTTTGGAATCCATAGTAGATTGCACTTAAACAACCAGGTTTCTATTTTCAGAAGTATTTACAAATGTTTTAAACTACTCCATCAAACCCTCCAACCCTTAATCACTCCTTATCATCCCGACACAGCTAAATAGTAATTAAACATTCAATAACATTTATTTTTTTGTATTTTTGTATTTTTTTTTGTAAGTTTGAAATATATCCGTTTACCTGATAATTTGCAACTTTGTGTGGGAGCCTAATCAGTGAACCAATTAACCCACGAACCGATGAACCAATGAACCAATGAACCAATGAACCAATGAACCAACTAGCCAATTAACCACCTAGCCAATGAACCAATGAACCAATGAACCAACTAACCAATGAACCAATGCACCAATGAACCAATGAACCTACTAACTAACTAACCAACTAACCAAAGAACCGATGAACCAATGAACCAACTAACCAACGAACCAACTAACCAAGGAACCAACTAGCCAATTAACCACCTAGCCAATTAACCACCTAGCCAATGAACCAATGAACCAATGAATTAACTAACCAATGAACCAACTAACCAACTAACCAACTAACCAAAGAACCAATGAACCAACTAACCAACTAACCAACTAACCAATGAACCAACTAACCAACGAACCAATTAACCAATGAACCAATGAACCAATGAACCAATGAACCAATGAACCAAAAAACCAATGAACCAATGAACCAATGAACCAATGAACCAATGAACCAATGAACCAATGAACCAACTAACCAATGAACCAATTAACCAATGAACCAACTAGCCAATTAACCAAATAGCCAATTAACCAACTAGCCAATTAACCAACTAGCTAACCTAACATCAAATTATCAACGCCCCGCCTAGTTTCAACAAATGTGTATTAGACAAATAAAAACTGGGGAAAACTCTTGAGTAAGTGTAGTTTGGGCGAAACATGAGTTGGGTGAAATGTAATTTTGGTGAAACGTAGTATTGGGTGAAACGTGAATTGGATGAAAAATAAATTAGGTGAAACTTTATTTTACCTAAAATTGGTGAAACATTTTGGGCGAAACGTGATTGGGTAAACTGGGTAAACCACACCATTATTATGTGTTAAGATGCTTTCAATCTCTATAACAAGATATTTGTTTTACTTAGCTGGTTTTACTGAAAGGAGGATGTCTCGAGCTAATGCTGCTAAGATCGGTTCTTTCTTTCAACTCGGAGAAAAATACGTGGCAGGTGCGCATGCGAAGTTTTATTAAAGAATCTGTAAACGTAATTTCAGTTACATAAAATGTTTTACAAAAGATACCTCTTAATCAATTGTGAATTCTTGATAACGATCAGCCAAAGGTTTAAAGGATACCATTGTGAATCCAACATGCTTCTTTTTTATGGTTGTCACTTTCAAAACATGTAAATACTTAAAAAAAGGGCAAAACCTGTTCATCCGAAAAAAAGAATAAATCTAGCTTCTAGATGCAACACAGAGAGCTAGGTGTGTCAATGTCATGATGGACAAAGGTTATTCCGTAAAAATTGATTATGGAAAAATTATCCCAAAAATTTATTTCAGAATGTTATTCCTAGCTCTGTGTAGTATCTGAGGGGTAAGTTTATTTGAAAATCTGATAAAAAAGGTTTCGCCCTTTAATTTTAAAGGGTTCTCTAAGGCTTGTTCGAAACAAAATTGAGCCTGAAGAATTTGGAATATGTTTAACGTTATTGTTCAGTTGCCTGGGATGTCCTTTAAAGAGGAACTGAGCATGGATGTTCTGAAAGAAGCAAGTGTTCATGGAGTTAACCTATACGAAGAACATCAAAGGTGCTAGGTTTCAGAATTCTGTTGAGTGGAATTCCGCGGAATTGTACTCGAGTTGCACGAAATTGTGCGGAATTACAGGGCTCACAATTGCGCGCAAGTAAAATCCACTTTCGTTGGAAACCCTAGATAAACCCTCAAAGGATGAAATTTTATAAACAACTTTAGAATCATAAGATATGAAACCCAATTTGGTCCTCTGGCTGCCTTGAAAAAAAGTACTTCATGCATATTAACTGTCATGATAAACAAGTAAGCGTTACAAAGACCTGTGAGTGTAAGACAAATGATCTAATAAATTCCGTATACAGTTGGTTTTTAAAGTCTCATCATTTGTAGCCTGTATCTTAATCAACGCAAAGAAATAGTTCTTCTTAGTATATATTTGGTTTTTCTGTTTCTTAATGATTTTGCGTACCAATTATTTAGCCTACAAGATTTGCGTATTTGCGCATAATTCCGCGTAAAAATCACAAATTGGATAAAGTTTTCATAATAAAAGAAGCGCAATTAATTGGGTTATGTGTAGGCGCAAGCAAGAACATGTGCCAGAAATACGTAATATGAGTGCAGATATTTTAAAATTTCGTTTATTAAACCTTAATTGGAACCAGAACATATTTGAATTAAAGATCCTTAAAAGATGTTAATTGTCATTGACCTTAACACAGTTCTTGGCAGAAACTTATTTTCTATTGCAAATAATTGTTCTGTAAATCCTTCGGATCTTAGTAAAATGTTAGTTAAGAAACAAATGAAATATTTTGATGTCCCATTGGAACATGCATGGAAAGTTCCGGTTTTAAAATGAAGGATTCGATGATTCGTAATAACTGAAATGATAAATATGTTAAGTAATGAGTAATGATCAATGTTGTCTATTTGTGCATAATTTGCATATTTTTCTCTTTTCTTTTGGAAACCTGTATTTTCAAAAATTTATTTAAACAAATTTAAACTACACCATTTATATACGTATTTATATCTTTGTGTGTGAATAAATCTTTATAATAATATTTTGTAGGTTTGCCAGCTCCTTCCCTGCAGTGTACAGAACTGATGAAACAATTATGCTTTTATTGTCCGCCATTGCTCTCTTCTCCCAGGAATAGGATTTCAAACTGATTATGCTTTTATTATCCGCCATTGCTCTCTTCTCACAGGAATAGGATTTTAAACTGATTATGCTTTTATTATCCGCCATTGCTCTCTCCTCACAGGAATAGGATTTTAAACTGATTATGCTTTTATTATCCGCCATTGCTCTCTTCTCACAGGAATATGATTTAAAACTGATTATGCTTTTATTATCCGCTATTGCTCTCTTCTTACAGGAATAGGATCTTAAACTGATTAGGCTTTTATTATCCGCCATTGCTCTCTTCTCCCAGGAATAGTATTTTAAACAATTATGCTTTTTTTATCCGCCATTGCTCTCTTCTCCCAGAAATAGGATTTTAAACAATTATGCTTTTATTATCCGCCATTGCTCTCTTCTCCCAGGAATAGGATTTAAAACTGATTATGCTTTTACTATCTGCTATTGCTATTTTCTTTCAGAAATAGGATTTTAAACTTTAAAACGAAAACTCTGAAGATTTTGGAATAATTTTTTTTTTCATTAAAATTAAAAAAGGTTTTTGATAGGTTTTATGCAATTTTTAAAAACGTTTTAGACAACATTACTTTTTTTAATTAGAATTGAAACAGGTTTGTTTTATTTATAATTTTATTCGAAACGCATTTCTTGACTGGGGGAAATGACAGACGTTGAATGTTAAAACCAGGACCAAATTTATGCAGTAGCCAGGTGACTGAATGTTTTAAACCGTTAAATGCTTTTTAAAATTAAAATTCGGGTTCACCAAAAATAATATTTGTAAAACCTATTCTCATAATGTTAAACTGTATTCTTAATGCTTTCTTTTCTTCAACAAATTTAATTTTTGGATCAAGTGTAAAAGTTTATGTAAAAAATCTAAATTTTAAAGTTTGTGTAAAAATGTAAAATTTAAAAGGAAAAAAGAAATATTTTTACAGAAATTCTATATTAGGATAGAAATAATATGAAGCATAAAACTGTAGTACAGCTAGAACAGGTTAGTTACCATATTATTTTATAGATATATGTAATATACAGTGAGAAGCAGAAAACTCTGGAATATGAAGACGAAGTTTAGTCTCAAGTTCTGACTTTAAATAGTACAATGAACGTGAGGCACAACAATTGTGTAGTGTAAACAGACCCATTCCACTTAATCAGTGATTTACTTATTAATAAGTATTAATATTTGCCTTATAATAAAATCAAAAACACTTGAGTATTGCTTTAATGTCGTCTTCTTATTCCACATATTGCTGGTTCTTACTGTACCATATTTAGAATAAACAGCACATTAAATCCAAGAAATAATAGATTACAACATTTGTACTTCACGTAACTGGTGAATTTCTAAAGATTAAAAAACAGAATTGTATGACATTATGGTTTCGGAGATTAGGATGTTAAGGATAATGTTGTGAATCAATTAGGGTATTTTCCAAAGTACTGGTCATCATGAATGACGCTGATTACTCCTTAGAATGTAAACTAAGTGATAAAGATCATCAAGACAGTTCGGGTTTTCGTGGAAGAAAGTCCATAAAATATTAAGTTTTGAGATCAAATTTGTAAAGCTTTTTTAGGAAAAAAAATTCCATGAATCTAGTGACATTACGTCTTAGAACTTCAGGAAATATGAATAGTTTAAATTTGATTCGTTTATATTTGATTGCTAGTTGTACTTTGTCTCCTCCCAGGTGTATTTACACACCTGCATATTCTGATAAAAAAATAATATCAATGAAATCAATTTAAACTTTTAATATTACATAATTCTATTATTAGCTCCAGTATCAAAGAATTTTGATAAATACGAAATAGTGTACCAATAACAGGAATAGTATACCAATAATAGAAATAGCTAACCAATAATAGAAATAGTATACCAATAACAGGAATAGTGTACCAATAGCAGGAATAGTTTACCAATAACATGAATAGTATACCAATAACAGGAATAGTATACCAATAATAGGTATAGCGTACCAATAATAGAAATACAAAATATATACAAAATAAATTAAATTGATTTTTTTACGATCCGAGTTGAATGTTGCAACTTTCTGAATTTGTATGGACGCTACATTCTTAGGTTTTAGTCGTTTTCAACCAGGAATAGTGTACCAATAACAGGAATAGTGTACCAAAAACAGGAATAGTTTACCAATAACAGGAATAACGTACCAATAATAGGAATAGTGTACCAATAATAGGATTAGTGACCAATAACAGGAATAGTATACCAATAACAGGAATAGTGTACCAATAATAGGAAAAGTGTACCAATAACAAGAATAGTGTACCAATAACAGGAATAGTGTACCATAACAGGAATAGTGTACCAATAACAGGAATAGTGTACCAATAACAGGAATAGTGTACCAATAACAGGAATAGTATACCAATTACAGGAATAGTATACCAATAACAGGAATAGTGTACCAATAACAGGAATAGTATACCATTAACAGGAAAGTTTCAGGCCAAAAACGACATGATTTGGCTTAGCTAATTCATATACAAAATAATCGTAAACAATTTATATACAAAATAAATTAAATTGATTTTTTTACGATCCGAGTTGAATGTTGCAACTTTCTGAATTTGTATGGACGCTACATTCTTAGGTTTTAGTCGTTTTCAACCATTTTCTCCTTATAGACGCAACAGATAAAAGTAAGTTTAGTAGCGATCAAAAGCGCTTATTTTTCGCCGTAAGCCTATGCCCCCTTTCATTTTTCGCGAACACTCCCTTAAAACAATTATAAATATCTTACAAAGAATCAAATTGAACAGGATCGAACTCTGAACTTTAAATTTAAAGGGACTGGCAGCGTTATTTGAAGTGATCCTACAAGCTTAGGTGGCACACCTGCCGAGAAATACCGGTCAAAAGTTTTGTCTGGTCAAGCATAAATTAAATATCAATGTTTATAATTTTGAAATCTGTTTATTTCAATTGTGGTTACTTTATATACAAAAAGTGGCTTGCGCATTTTTACTAAAGGAAAACAAGGAAAACGGCAATATCTTCACATATTTGATTAGATCATGTTTTTAATGGTATCGTTGTGAATTGGGCAATGCCATAATTGCATGAAAGGTCACTTGAAATTACGCGTGCAGAAACATTATATTACTGTTTAGGATACTTATTATTATCTTCTGAAGAGGTATCTAGATTCCAAGTTTGGTGGATGCAAGGCTAGAGAATCCTATCTTGAACTAATAGGTATTTTTTGTGAGAAATATTTATTTCTTCACCTAGAATTTCGTAGTTCTGCGCTTGCATTTTATGTACAGTGGTAGGAGATTATATCATCATGAAAGTCAAGAGAATTTATCAATTAAACAAGCTTCTCTTTGATTACTTGTAAACTTGTAAATCAGAAAAGCTTGTTAACAATCAAAACTTAAATAAAAAAGTCGTCTTCATTGTAGTGATATAATCGCTTACCACCGTATATTGTTTTATCATTGAATGTTCGCGATTTTAATTACGAATATTTAAAAAAAAACATACATTTTCGCTTATAAAACAAATTATTTTTAAAATTCATTAATCATATATCTTTTTAATTTCATTAAAAGGAATTGAGTTTTTGCCACAAACTCTCGTAAACTTCAAACTATGAATTCTGTTGGATCAAATAATCTAAGTTTGAAATATATAATGTTTACACACCATCAAGTTGAAAAGATATAGAAATTAGAATATTTAAGTTTGTTGCAAATACTCAATTCCTTTGTATATCTTTTATTGAAAGCGGTTTTCTTTCACAAGTTATATAATTCATAAATTATTTTATTTCGAACAGAACAACTACCGTTTTTTTCGCAAAAAAATCATTTGTGTTTTTCAAAAAATATAATCTACGTTTTTAAAACAAACCAAGTAACAAATTTAATTCGTAAATGAATTAATAAATCAACATTTTTATACTAGGCATCCTTCTTCAACTTCGGGAGCTAAATGATTCACATTTGCAGGTATTTTATAACAAATCAAACAAATAGTTGCAAATGACATAATTTTGTCTGAGAAAGTTCTAATAGGTTCAAAATTCAATTCAGAATTCTAAAAAAATCAGTTCCGCGCCACACTTAACAAATATTTGTACAAAGATAAAAATCTTGTTGTTTATGGAAATACTAATATCTTATTTCAGCTGTTTATGGAAATACTAATATCTTATTTCAGCTGTTTATGGAAATAATAATATCTTATTTCAGCTGTTTATGGAAATAATAATATCTGATTTCAGCTATTTATGAAATAATAATATCTTATTTTAGCCGTTTATGGAAATAATAATATCTTATTTCAGACGTTTATGGAAATAATAATATCTTATTTCAGCTGTTTATGGAAATAATAATATCTGATTTCAGCCATTTATGAAATAATAATATCTTATTTCAGCCGTTATGGAAATAATAATATCTTATTTCAGACGTTTAGGGAAATAATAATATCTTATTTCAGCTGTTTATGAAAATAATAACATAAAATTTCAGCTGTTTATTAAAATAATAATATCTTATTTTAACTGTTTCTGAAAATAATAATATCTTATTTCAGCTGTTTATAGAAATAATAATATCCTATTTCAGCTGTTTTTGGAAATAATAATATCTTAATTCAGCTGTTTATGGAAATAATAATATCTTATTTCAGCTGTTTATGGAAATAATAATATCTTATTTCAGCTGTTTATGGAAATGGACCCACGTGAGATAGAACCATTGCTCAGAGAAATATTTGATCTTCATCTTATAAATAAATAAATAAATAAATAAATAAAAGAGGAAACTATTTATTATTTTCAGTTTGATAGTAAATTGTGCCATAAAAGGGACTGTAAGTGTAATTTCAAGTGACCCTAGCTCCATGCAAAGATGGCAATGCACGATTTAAATTGGTTGGTACCCTTTAGACCTTTAACTTATCATTGAGGCCAAAGAACAACTATCGTTTTTCGTATTTCTAAATCGTTAAGAAAACGATCCATTCCTATTTACATTTAACGAAAATACCATATATTCTAGGGCGGTTAATATAAAAACGAAAGTAAATATATTTTTTTTTGAATTCTTGAAATTAAATGTTAATATTTTCAAAAATAAAAAAACTTGCAAATGAAACGTTCAAAAATTACTAACGTCTCTGTATGTAAATAAGGATAAGTTTGACAACCTTGATCAGTCAAAGGTTCCATGGGTACTGTTGTTAATCGATATCGCCAATGTAAAAATGAAGGGTCTCTTGAAATTACTATACTATTAATACGCAAATAGATTCTAGTACAATGATGGCAACGTATGTACACTCTCATTACAACTGTATTCTGACGTCAACTCAGTTTTTGTGTCCGTCAAAATTATTAATAATTGTGTAGAATTAGTGCTTATCTTACAGTAAAATAAGTGCAATTTTTTGTGTTCTTTAGTTTCTGTTTCTATACTTTTTATTTAATCTTGGAAAACATGTCAATAATGTGAGAAAATTTTGTTTTCCTTGTTATATTTGACACTTGTGAAGTCGTGTATAATTAGTCCATTTCTCTATTCCCACCTATTGTACTTGATAATCTATTTGACTAAGACCACTTTTTTATATCTTAATTTCACCTAATTAACAAATAAATGAATTTCGGATTTTATATATTGTAATTTACATTGATCAGTAATAAATATAACATATAAAAGTTTACTGTAACTTGTTTTCTAGCAGATACAAGGTGGTTTAACAAAACCAAAAATTTATTCAAAATAAGTTTCTTTGGGAAAAAGTATCTTTTAACTTTTAAAATGTGTAAATGTAATTTTTATGTTTTGCTTCCTCTGAGTGCCATTCATTTCGCAATTCATTGACAAATCATTAGTTTTACTTTTCATCAATCAGATAGATTTTACGTTTTAACTGATGCTGTAAGTTATTGAAAATGATTCTTTCTATCTTAAAAATAAATTTTATTATGATTTTAACGCGCAGAAATGGCTCCCTCAGACGGGTTGCAATGAAATAAAATGTAAAAAATGTAAAAAATACAGATGAAAATGAAAATTTTATGCAGATATTCAATACATAGGTATTTTTAAACTAGATTGTTAATTTTCTCAAATTCAAATCTAATGACATAATATTAAAATATTAAAAATCGACCGATTGAAAGCAAAAAAACATTTTTAGAGTACTATGAAAATTTGATTAAGAGAAAAAAAGTTTTTTTTTGACCATAGCTTGTCCAATTTATACAACTTTTTAACTTTGTTAATTGTTTTGAACTCCGGTTTTAATGCAGATTTTATGATACCCATGTATGTGTTAATATTTTTACATATTTTGAGAATGTCTTGCAATTTTGGGCACTTAAATTACTCACTCCCAATGTTATAATTCCTTTTAAAAAATTGCGGCCGCCCCTCTTTACTTACCCCTTCTCCTCCCCCCAACATAGTTTTATTGGGAGATTGACCCCACCCCCTTTTCAAAGAGCTGGTTCCGCCCCTGCTTAGTATTCAACGTATTTTCCTCTACACAGAGGTAATATATAAGAAAACTTTAGCAGCGTTCTGACCCAAAATTGTTTCGGTTTTAGCGTATACCCCTTTCATTGTTCGCGAACACTCCCTTTAAGTTTAGAATAACATAGATTAATTCTCATTGAACATGAAAATTAGTTAGTTTTCAGATTTCGTTCCTGTTTTTTTTCTTTAAGAATCCAGGCTTATTTACAGTTTGTTGTTTGTAATTAGATATTTCTTACTTTGATGAATTTCTAAAATTGTTTATTTTTCCAGTATTTGTTCAAAACTGTTACTGCTTATACTGCGCTTAAAAATATTTATCTATAAATGGTAAAAACTTAAATTTTCTTTTGGGTGTCCCAATGAACATGGAAAAAAATATTTAAGTCGTTTTAAAATGTTGTTTTTTTTCAATTAGATTATAAGGTCAAAGTTGTGAAGAAACACGTTTCTAAAACATATTTTCTTAAATTTGGAATTTTGAATTTTAAAAAAATAATAATATTTTGTAAAAATTCTGGGGACTTCTATTAAATAACTCTGGGCACTTCTATTAAATAACTCATGGGCACTTCTTCTATTAAATAACTCTGGGCACTTCTATTAAATAACTCTTGGGCACTTCTATTAAATAACTCTGGGCACTTCTTCAATTAAATAACTCTTGGGCACTTCTATTAAATAACTCTTGGGCACTTCTATTGAATAACTCTGGGCACTTCTTCTATTAAATAACTCTGGGCACTTCTATTAAATAACTCTTGGGCACTTCTATTAAATAACTTTGGGCACTTTTTCTATTCCAAAATCAAAATATTTATTGTGAAATCCGAATAATATCAAAAATACGTCATTCTTATCATGATGACTTATGCAATGGGACCCCAAACACCGTGACTTAGGAAGACGACATTAAAGTAATATGATGTTGGTTTTAAATCAGAAAGTTATGAAAGAAGCTTGAGTATCAACGTATTAAATAAAATGGGTCTGTATAATCATGTTTAATAAATTACATACAAACTTGATGTTCATTGGACGTACAGGTGTCCCACAAAACATGACAGATGGTGAATAGTTTAAAATGTCTTCTTCCATAATCTGTTAAGTTGTTTGATACTGGAGAGAATAATAAAAAATACTATATGGGAGTCATACGGTAATAAAATTGATTTTAAAGTAAAATATGTTAATTGAGTAAAATATTTAACACAGTGTATAGAAGAAGTCAATTCAAAACTATTCATGTACTTACTATTGTTGAAAATCCATGAATCTAATTAGAAAATCTTTTAAATATTGAGTTTTACTATTTGTCCACAGAAAATGGGGAATTGAAAAAGCATCCGCTCCTTTCAGAAAAATAGGGACAGACAATTTTTAAAAGTGTTATTCTTTAAGGTGCGCCCTGAAATTTATTATTTCAGCAAAATGTTTTCAAAGGTTTCTGAGTTTTTATGGAAAATATTCCTAATCATAAGTTTGTTCAACTTTACGAATGGAGTAGACTCCGAACCCCACGATACGCATGGAAAAGACTCTGAGCCCCTCTTTACGCCTGAAAAGGACTCCGAGTCCCACTATACGCCTGAAAAGGACTCCGAGCCCCACTTTACGCCTGAAAAGGACTCCGAGCCCCATTCAGAAGACATAAATCACAACCCAAGTAAATTCCATTCCATCCTGTATAAAGAATTACCGTTTACCAAAGAAAAGGGAAACCACACTAACTCAGGTATAATTAAGCTTTTTTGAAATTTTTGAAACTTACTACAGTTAAACCCTAAATGAGCCATACATCGAAAGAATTTATCAAATGTCGTCTTGCCATTTTTTCAATGGGTTTTATGCTATTTTACGTAAATCTCAGTATTTGCGAAAATGAATAAATAGCCATGAATATGCAGGACCAGTTTTATAGAGCTCCATATAATCATCTATCTATATATAAATTTGGCTTGTTTGTCTGTCTGTTTGTTTGTCTGTTTGTTTGTTTGTTTGATCAAAATTTTAAAAATTTGTGTTTAAAAGTTTTTTATTTTTGAAAAATTTGAAAATGCGCAAAAAAATATTATGAAATCCGCAAACTTTTTTTGCTTTTGTTTTATACTGTACAAAGAGAAGATGTTCACAGATAAAGCCACAATTAAAAGTTGAAATACGAGATGGGCGCGAAGCGCCCTAAAAGCCTAGTATATATAAATGTGGCTTGTCTGTCTGGGTGTCTGTTTGTTTGTATCCAATAAACGTCAAAACGGCTGAACCGATCTGGCCCAAATTTTTTTGGGACATCACGTGACCACAGGGAATGTTTATGAATGATAAAAATTAAAAAAATGTGTTTTAAAGGTTTTTAATTTTGTAAAAAAATTTAAATTCTTGAATTTCCGCGATTTTTTTTTTAAATCTGCAAAAAAATTTTCTTCTTTGTTTTAAAATGTAAACAAAAGAACATGTTCACAATTCAAATAGAAGATGGGCAAAAGCCTAGTTTAATTAAAAAACTAAATATCTGCAGCATTCCATTATCAGAAAGTGAAGAATACTACTTTTGATAAATTCTTTCGATGTATTTAACATTAATTAACTGTATCATGCGCATTGCGCAGACCATCGGAAGATATATGAAATTGTTTCACCTTTTTTACTCCTTCATTACAAATATAGATGTCTTTTCTATGTGCAATATTTATAATAATACAAACGTATTGAATTTGAATAAGGTCAAAAGGAACCATTGTAAAAAGATGATAAAAATGATTGAAGTTTGACTAGAAATTACTTCCCTTCGAGCTTCATGGAGAACTGATTTCTCTATGATTTACCAACTGCAGATGATGTTAACCTTTTATACAAAAAAAAATTTGTCAATTTGATCGAGCAGTGTCAGAATTCAATGAATTTAAGCCGCGTCTCAAATCCACCAAAAATCGGTTTCAATTGAAAAGTTTAATACAATTTTAAGTGGAACCAACCATATTTTAGCCGCGGCTCAAGTTCTTTTAGTTCGGCTTTAGGAGTTTTATAGCTTGCTTTATCAGAGCTGGGAACTCTTTTATTGTGATTGATCTCTATATTTAGTTAATCTGCAGATTAATTTAATCTTTATTCCATATCTGCAGTACAGTTGTATCCTAGTAGGGATACATAAAAAAGAGATTAAGCATTGATCCTCAGATTTACATTGCCAACAGTGGATATCGAGATCAAACGATTGGGATTTTATGAGTATTCAACTCAAAAGTTCCCAGCTCTGGATGCAAAGATATAAGGATTAGAAATAGTGAAATGAGGTCCTTTTAAATTTTCAGAAATGCTAGAGAATCCATTTGGATGTGAATGTGGTGCTGGGGATTATGGAGAGACAGTGGATTCAGATATATCCCTTCATCAGGAACAATATTTAATATATAACATAAAATAGTTAACCGAGAACTTCGGAGACATCGAAAATATTTACAAAATGTCGTTTTATATTATTAATTATTATACGTAAAGTTCAGTATTTGTAAAAATATATAAATAGCCATGAATATACGGGAACAGTTTTAAAGAGTTCCATTTAATTATTCAATTAAAGAAACTAAATATCTGCAGCATTCCATTATCAGAAAGTTAAGAATACGACATTTTATAAATTCTTTCGATGTCTTAGAACTACTGGGTTAAACAGTATGTTGACCAAGCCGAACCACTCATGTTCAATCAGGGGGCGGAAACGTCATGTGTATGTCTATACCAAAAGAGTGTGTGTAAGGAATACCGAACCGAAGGCGTGTACTGTAGGTTTATACAGTGCATAAGAATTTCGGTAATTACAGTCTAGGAGAGTTCATTTGTTTTTTGTTAATTGTTTACTTAAAAATAAGTTTAATATAGATGTAATATATTATTAACATATTTAAGTCAACACTATAAAGCCAAACTTTCATGCAAAGAATATAATTTGATTAAAATTTACATAAACTACTTGTTATTCAAGTTTAATTTTAATTGACAACATTGTTCTACGATTTCCTTGACTTCATGTTGTGTGTCTGTAACAAAAGAGTGTGTGTAAGGAATACCGAACTCGTCTGCAAAGCAGTACGACTAGCTTTCTCTTGCCAGACCAGCCCCCTTTCCTTTCCCTTTATTCCTATTCCCTGTGTTCAACCCGACCCGGCGCACTTATAGGAAACTAGTTTAACTCGAGCTATAAATTAGATGTTGTTCAGGAGTATTCCTTCCCACCCATCACTAACCGTATAGTTAACGGATACGATGCAAAGCAAAAGTAAGTAAAATAATAAAAAAACTTTTTTTTAATATACAGTCGTATGCGATTATGTAAACACAAGACGACTTTTTTATTGTTAACGAGCCTTTTTCGAATTAAAAATGATCAAGTAATCAAAGAGAATTTTTTTTGGTTGACAGCTTCTCTTAACTTCTATGGTTATCCATGCTGTTTAAAAGCTTGATATATATCAATATTCAAATTAAAACCCGTCTTCGTTAAATTGATAATCACCATTATATGTTTCGTTTATTTTTTTTAAATCATACTAACGAACCCTCAGAGAGTTTAATAAAGCTTTTGATTGTTTCATTTTTCCTGCAGAGCGAATTTTGCACAAAAGTGTGAATTTTAATCTCAAAAATATCTTCATCTATTTTTTTGCCGGAAACAAAATCTGAATCAAAATTAAGACAACATTTATTTAAAAATTCTTCGTTATTTCAAAAGTTCCATTTTTATAATTTTAGGCCATGGATGCTGTTTTTGCATATAAAATCTAGTAAGTAAGTAGTTTATATGAAGCAGAAATAAATTTAAATGTTCTTGAAATTTCGTTTTTTTTCTACACTACTTCTACAGTCATAAACATATTCTAAAAACTTGATTACTAACATACTGAGTACTAAATAATAATCACTAATAAAAAGTGGTCACAATGAGGGATGTTAACGTTTTCATTTTTTTTTCGAAAAAAGATCGTTTCGTTATAAAAACGACGACAAAAAATCGAAAACGAAACGATAGTTTTTGAAAACGATAGTTTTTGTAAACGATCGTTTTTCAAAAAGTTCGTTTTTTAGAAATGGTCGTTTTTAAAACGATCACTATTGAAAAACGATCGTTACTAAAAGCGATCGTTTTTATAAAAATCGTCTTTTCGTTAACGATCGTTAACAAAGACACTTCGTTAACGATTTTCAAAAACGATCGTTTTCTAAAACGATCGTTTTTCATTTTCTGAAAGCTCAAAACGAGTGGGTCGTTTTTAAAAACGATTGTTTTTTTTTTCCAAAAACGAAGCAATCGTTTTTGAAAACGATTGAAAAAAGAAACAAAAATCGATTAACAACCCTAACTCACAATCCCTTTAAAGGGATTGCAAACTTAATTACGAGTGACAGTGCCCTTTAAACCTTGGACTGATCAAGGATGACGGATTCAGCCTTGAATTATTGTTGACACTTTCCGGAAGTTGCAAAAACTAAATGTTTTAAAATTTAAATTAGATGTAAACCACAAAAATATTTCAAAGTGAATAAATACTTCGGGAATATTCAAAATTTTCGAAAAAAGTATCGTTGCGTTCACACTGTACGCTACCGTACACTCTATTTATTTTTGCAATTTGAACAAGGCCATTTTATGCATAGATTAAAAACAACACAGATAGAACACTAGATATCGTTCTTTCCATATTTAGGGGTTTTTAGTTTACAAAACCCCATGAGGCAGAAGCTTCCCTGTCTTGTAATTCAACGCAGAATCCGCGTAACTCCTTTGGGCTTCTGCCTTAGGGCTATTGTGACCAAAAAAACCCTTAACCTTTAAAAGACGACATCTAGTGTTTTATCTGTGTTGTTATTAGACATTGATTTTAGAGATAAACAAACGGAGTCCTCTTCTGTAGAGTAAATAGCAAAATACTTTTCGATTCTTGTCTAAGAGCATGACCGTCAATGTTTGCAGCGCCAGCAATTTTCAAATTCCTACATCTGAGGGTGGTATATTTTTAAGATTTATAAACTTTCCAAATGACTGGATATTTCGGGAATTACCCAAAAGGTTTGGTGTAATTGAACAAAAACCTCCCTCAGACTCTTTAAGGAATTTCGAATTTCGAAATTTTGCTAATTGGTGTCATTCCCATAGGATTTGATGAGAGTGTTTCAACCAGCTGTGGAGCGACCATTCTAAATCCGGAAAGGGTTTTAACAAAAATCTTCGAAAAAATAAAAAAAGCTTTATCAGAATATTTTCTAAATTGCCACTACACAAACCACCCCCTCCCTTACATCAAATATATACAAAGTCTATAATTTTATATTTAAATGTCCAATCAGTAGGTTGACTTTCATAGGGATAACTTAAAAAGCTGGGTTCCTTTCCTATGCAAGTTTTATTTTTATAAAACCTGGAACTTGAAAGAGATGGGCCATCACAGCAGCACATTGTTTGTGCAGTCCAAGCGATCTTCGTAAGTCGTCTTCATTCAAACAATTCAGCCATCCAAATAACATACAGTAACAACTAAAAAAAGTGCAATAATTTTTTTTCTCTCGAAAAGTCGTGGTGATATTGTAATGCGACCATAGGTTTGAACTCTTGTGTTAAGTATAGTTAACTTTGGACACTTGACCTCGATTTCCGCTATGGACACTTTTAGCTTTAAAGATTTAAGGGCTAAGCCACAACAGGATATCAACAAGTAATTAGACTAATCCGTAGATCTTCATAAAAAAAGAACAACGACAAAAATAATTACAAACTTTTTTGGTTTTGGTTTTATTAGATCAATATTAATAGAAAGGCAAGAACAATCTGAATTAAAATTGAGGAAAGGACTAATGGTGAACGCTTGTTTTATTTACTTTTTTTTCATCTTGTCTTTTTCAATTTTTTTATTGTGAAACCTGTCGTCATACGCCATTTTATTGATATGTTTGCTTTTATTTTGATTCACCGACATACCATGGGTACAAACGTAATAGCTAGGGTAAAACGAGTAACGACATAGGGTCAAAAAGTGAGACAAACGGACAAAAATTTATTTGGACTATTTTTTGGTCCATTTGAATTATTTTTATGTTCTAAAGAATTAGTTGCCGCAGCGCTCGGCCCCCTAGCCTCAGCGCTTGGCCAAGAAATTGCTTTAACCCAGCATATATATGATAAACAAGACATTCGTATATATATATTTATATATATATATATATATATTTTGTCTATTGCCGGCCAAACGGCTGGACTGATTGGGCTGATTTTTGTGTGGATACTCATGGGTGACCAGGGGGTGTTAAAGGCTTAAAAAAAAATTTTCGGCCCAGAAATTGTCTTAACCTGTGCTAACCCTTCAATAATACAAAAATATTTTTTTCGTCATTTTGACCCAAGCTTTGTCGTTTTACCGTTTGTCGTTTGACCCATGTCGCTTGACCATATAAAGTTTGACCCTAGGTCGTATGACCTTAAGTCGTTTGACCCTATGTCGGTGAGCCTTAATTTTGGCTACAGGGTGTCCCAAAAAACATGGGAGTTCAGTGACGAATTGGATATCGTCTTTGTTATGAATTAGCATTGTAATACCTAATTTCAAAAGCCATAATATTATTATCTCTGCTAGAGCTTATTTAATGAAAAGGGTAAAAGACTGTAAAGATGTGTCTATAATGTCTCCGCAAGATGAACAGTGAAGACGGACAAGTTTACTCTGTTTGTATTCTGCAATTTTCTTCATTTATTAAGTACAATCGTATGCATGGTCAAAACATAAACAAACAAAATGTGAGCATAGCAGACGAAACTCTTACAGAATACAGCTTTCTCAGTAGGTATCACTATACTATACAAAGAATTATTTAAAAAGACGATATCGAATTCGTCACTGAATTCCCATGTTTATTGGGACACCCTGTGCTCTATTAACAAAATAGGTTGATACCAAAGGTTGCCAAAGAGACTAGAAAAGTAGAATTTACTTCTCAAGTTCACTTCCTTTTAGGTTTATTTTACTAAATACCCACCAGATTGAGACTGCAAAGACGACCGGAAACTTTTCAACTATTAAAATATTACGATTTCTATAGTGAAATTAAATATTCTGCATTGAATAATTTGACAAAGTAAAAAAAAGTTTAAACCTTGAATATTATGATAATTCCGTATTAATTCTTTTCTCTTGTTTCTTGTATTTTTGTGTTAAGAATTAAATTTGAAACAGCATTTGATACATTTAACTTGAAAATAATATTACAACTATATTTTTCAGGGGCTGGACTAATTTGTGAGGTAAAATTTATAAAAAACCGATTAAAAATTGAAAAAAATAATGATAAAAATATAATTATAAATATATAGAGAGTAGCATAAAAAATCTAATCATTTAAAATACTATCTTTTTTTGAGATTATTGAAAAATAATTTAAGACTACTATTTGTTGAGAAATTTAAAAGAGAATAATGAAATTTTTCCTACTAGTTATTTGTAAAGAAATATGAATATTTTTTAAAGAAATGGAAATTTCTTTGACTATCGTTTGTAGACAGAATTGAACGTTGAAATTGATTCATGAAAGTTTTTTTTTCAAATTGTTTTTTTCAAAGAAATTAAAAAAAGAATTATCAATATCTTCTATTTTCCTTTGTCAAAAAAGTAAAAAAAATCATGAACATTTTCTTAACAACTATATTTTGAGGAATTTGGAAAAGATTGTGAATGTTTTCTGAAAATTGTAAATATTCTTTTACTACTTTTTATAGAAAAATGATAATTTTTTTTAAAGATTTCTATAAAGATATAAATTTTATTCGTTTTGCTATTTATAGAGAAAGGATGGTGTAACCAAAGCTATGTACAAACCATACGATCCAGTAAGTCTCATGCTAAGCTTTATCCTGATTGAATTACCTAAGTCTAAAATACATGGGGAGAGAGGGGGGGGGGGGTCCAAACTCTTATCCCCCCCACCTATTTTTTTGCCCTTAAGGGATTGTGATACATGTCCCAAGATTAATCGTTTCCAGTTAACAAATTACTTATTGGTTAAGCTATCAATCTAAATGTAAATATATTATGCCATTTTAAAAGGTTTCTACATGCACCATCAGTTCAAACATTTTAAGCATTACTTAAGGTCAAAAATGCATCTAAGAGTTTTCAAAACTTCATAAGTTAATAAGATTGGCTACAAACATAATGCAAGGTTATTGACCAATAAGATTAGTATTTGTTTTTCGTTGTCAAAAAAAAAAGAAGAATTGGGTTAGGAATTGCATTAACTAAGGTTTTTTAAGAGACATTTCTGTGACCATGTAGAACTTGTTTTTGTAAAATTAATTTTTTTTCTTCAGAATTTGGGATTTGACATGTTTATATATTTTGGAACTTCTGCAATACACTTTATATTGAATGGAGATGAAAGAGATGTTAGAAAATTTAGGTAATTAAAAATGTTAAACGTACCATAGACGTAATTTAAAACGGCTCTATAGCATCTATCTAACACTGCCCAGAACACATTTATTTGTATGAATATCGAGCACATCTATATATGTTTAAAAACTACTAACTACTGGATTGCAGATTTATGTATTCTTGTTCCCGCATTTACTCTTTCTGAGCTGGGAACTTTAGAATGGTGGATATCGGGATTAATGCTTGATCCATTCTTTTTCTTAATCTCCAGATTAAATATTGCTTGTTGTCCTCATGAATTTAATCTCCAAATCAATTAACAGATCGGGATTAAGGATATCACATTCTAAAGTTTTCAGCTCTGTTCTAAAAAAATACAACAGTACCTTTAATAGTTTTGTCTGATCAAAATTAATAAAATGTAATCTTTGTTTGTTTTCAATTGGTTTCTTTTCCAACGTGACTTTTACATTTTTGGTGCAGATACTATCGGACATGTTCCTCTCATGTGAGGTTTGCATGAATTACATCTATACAGTCCCTTTAAGAGGAAAAATTCTCATCAAATATATCAATTTATTTCAGATTAAGTTTAAAGAAGGTTCTAATACATCCTGGATTCCTACTTTCTTCTAAAGATATGAGTGGTCAGTATATAATCGTTAGTTCTAGTAAACAAAATGTGTTTTACCCTGAAAAGGGAGGGAGGGGGGGGGGGGCTAAACTTTTGGTTTTCGCCTGGGGGGTAAATAAGAGCTTAAAGAAGTGACAATTTTGAGCACAGAAAACTAAAAAATAATTTGTGTATTTTGAATTTAACAAATTATAGTTATTGTAACTGTTTAGATGTTGGGGCTGATGTGGCATTGATTCAGGAATAAAAATAATAAATTTTATTAAAATCAGGGTTTTCAGAATGCAACAATTTTTTAGCGAATCCCGTATAATTAAAAACTAATTTATGCAGATCTAAGTTAAAACCAGATTTTTGAAACTGAACAACATTTACTCACAGAAAAATTTAAATCAGGAGGGAAAAAACCCTCGGGATTGAATGAAAAACCCTCGGGATTGAATAAAAACCCTTGGGATTGAATAGAAAACCCTCGGGATTGAATAGAAAACCCTCGGGATTGAATGAAAAACCCTCGGGATTGAATGAAAAACCCTCGGGATTGAATGAAAACCCTTGGGATTGAATAGAAAACCCTCGGGATTGAATAGAAAACCCTCGGGATTGAATGAAAAACCCTCGGGATTGAATGAAAAACCCTCGGGATTGAATGAAAAACCCTCGGTTTGAATAACAATCCTCGGGATTGAATAAAAACCCTCGGGATTAAATAAAAACCCTCGGGATTGAATAGACAAAACCCTCGGGATTGAATAGAAAACCCTCGGGATTGAATAACAAACCCTCGGGATTGAATAGATAAAACCCTCAGGATTGAATAAAAAACCCTCGGGATTGAAAAGATAAAACCCTCGGGATTGAATAGAAAATCCTCGGGATTGAATAGATAAAACCCTCGGAATTGAATAAAAAACCCTCGGGATTGAATAGAAAACCCTCGGGATTGAATGAAAAACCCTTGGAATTGAATGAAAAACCCTTGTGCTAAGTTCTCAGCTTTAGCGTTCATTGAATCCCTCGGTGTAAATAATAAAAAGTAATTATAATACTAAAGGATATATTTGAAAACAGAAATGCATTTAAATACAGTAAATCCCAGATATATGAATACATAGCAAGAGTTTTTTAAAATGTCGTATTACATTTTTAGGATCAAATGCCGCGAAAAAAAGAGTTTTATAATATTAATATATCAATTGCATTCATATTTCAGGGTTATTAAAAAAAAAAAAAAAATTGAATTAAAATAAAAAGAAGTTTCTTTAGAATTATACATTTTACAAAACTCTTGCTATGTATTCATATATCTGGGATTCACTCTATGTAAATTTACAATTTTTTTACAGTTAAACCCGGACACCGAAAGAATTTATGAAACCTCTTCTTGACAATTTCTAAATGGGTTTTCTACTTGTATGCCGAAATGACAGTTATTGTAAAAATAAATGAATAGCCGGCCATGATATAAGCAGGAACAGTTTTAAAGAACTACATTTGCTCATTTGATTAAAAAAACTAAATATCTGCAGTATTCCATTATCAATAGGTTCAGAAAAAGACATTTTAAAAATTCTTTCGATGTCTCAGAAGCTCTGGGTTATATTGAAGTTAAATAATACACATAGGTCTCATCAAAGTTATCTCTAGAAATGCTTCTGATGAGATTTGCATCGACATTATTGATAAAATAATAAAAAGTTTTTATGGAAGTTAACTTTAGTCTTAATATACATGGAAAATAGTATTTTTATGTCAAAACTTTTTTTTTTTGCAGATAAACTTGTAAATAATGATAAATCATAGTTTCAAGGTATTTTGAAGAAGTGGGTTATGTACAGTGAAACTTGTAATACAGAATGTCCCACAAATTATGATAGTATGTGAATAGTTTTGAATGTCTTCTTGCAGTTTATTTCGTTTAAAAATCTTATATTCATATATATTTTACTTTGAAATCAATTTTACTATGATATGGCTCCAGGCACGAAACATTTTATTTTATTCTTTTGGGGTTCAAACAACTTCACAAACTAGAGAAGAAGACATTTTAAACTTTTCACCAACTGTCATGTTTCGTGGGACACCATGTATGGCCTTAAAATATTTCAGCACAATGGCCTAAGGTCTGGCGCAAAAATCGATAAGAATTCTGCCTGTCTAAGATAAAACAAGTAGATACTTACTTTAGAGTTCTAAAGATAAAACAAGTAGATACTTACTTCAGAGTTCTAAATATAAAACAAGTAGATACTTACTTCAAGAGATTTAAAAATAAAACAAGTAGATACTTACTTCAAGAGTTCTAAAGATAAAACAAGTAGATGCTTACTTCAAGAGTTCTAAAGATAAAACAAGTAGATACTTACTTAAAGAGATCTAAAGATAAAACAAGTAGATACTTACTTTAGAGTTCTAAAGGAGATACTTACTTCAAGAGTTCTAAAGATAAAACAAGTAGATGCTTACTTCAGAGTTCTAAAGATAAAACAAGTAGATACTTACTTAAAGAGATCTAAAGATAAAACAAGTAGATACTTACTTTAGAGTTCCAAAGTTTAAAGTTCAAAGTGTAATGAGCTTGTGGGGTAAAAAAAAAGCTAAGGCTTTGCGACACTTAAAAATTCGACCAAGTCTTGAAAATAGCTGCATGCCTGGATAAATGTGCATGAGCTATTCATCTTTTAAAGAACCATCGCACCCTTGAGATTTCTACTATCAATAAGTTTGTCTAAATAATTTATTTATACGTCATCAGACCAGGAGATCCATTCCTTTCTCAGAGAGTGTATCACCCATTTGCCTACCAGGTAAGCATAAATAATACGGATTAAAATCGTTGTTCATCTTTTCAGAGAGAACTAAACCGTATCTTTGTAGTAAAGCGGATTAAGTCAAATCTTTTCATAACCTATCTGCTTTAAGTACTAATTGGTTCAACATTTAAAATTTCCACTTTTGTATCTAGTACTAAGCTCAGGCGTTTCAAGTTTACGCTTTCTCAATCATTCAAAAAGGTTGTTTTGGATAAATCTGATAAGAAATTTTATGATTTTTTAAAACTTACAAGTAGGGTTGTTAATAGTTTATAAAAACGATAAGAACGATAGTTTTTTTGATTCGTTTTTATTTTTCTAACAACGATCGTTTTGTTTTTGAAAACGAATCTCTAGTTTTGACCTTTCAAAAAAACGAAAAACCATCGTTAAAAAAAATTTCGTTAATGAATCTGGGTTTTGTGACAATTAATTTGATTTTTTTTATAAAGAAAAGGTCATGTTAAGGTAAGCTGTTAAGGTTGTTGTAAGGAATGTTGTCTTAAATATTTTTTTTATCGAGGCAAAAGACCTGAATGTTTTCTGACCTTTGGTTTGCCGATCAAAAAATGTATTTTATCTTTAAAAGGTCGTTTACGAAGGGTCGTCGGTAACGGTCGTTAACGACGGGTCCGCGATAATGGTCTTTAATAAAGGGTCGTTTTTGAAAACGAACGTTTTTCTTAGTTGTGTTCAAAACCTCATATTTGTTAAAACGACTGGACTCCATTGTTGAGTCCGACAGGCTTATATGATGAATAAAATTTTCAAATCTAAAGATTTAATTTCAGGACCAACTTTTAGAGATGAAGAAGTAGATGCCTTTATAGTTGGATATGGGAGGTATATATTAATATAATTATAATACAGGGCAAATCAGTCTATAATTAATAGTGTAACGTAGCTAGACTGATTCCCCTATAAATATTGCGAAAGTAGACTGATTCCCCTATAAATATTGCGAAAGAAGACTGATTCCCCTCTAGATATTGCGAAAGTAGACTGATTTCCCAGTAAAAACTAGATAACGTTCTGAGAGTTGTATCACTGATTGTTCAAGAACTTCAGATGCTTTCTGTATGACTACTGGGGAGGGACCTGATCCGTTCAAACAGTGTAGAAGTCTAGCACTAGTTAGTGTTCCATACAAGTAAGTTATTTTCTTTCAAATTCCAAGTATAGCTAGGGATTTAATATTTGAGATATGGATCTAATATTTGAGATACGGATCTAATATTTGAGCTACAGATCTAATTTTTGAGCTACGGATCTAATATTTGAGCTACAGATCATATATTTGAGCTACGGATCTAAAATTTGAGATACGGATTTAATATTTGAGATACGGATCCAAAATTAACAAACACTGAAAATTGCCCTTGAAAATGCAAATGAAAACAAGAGTCATATTTTTTTTTAATAATCCCGACATCATGTTATCCTATTCCTAATTATCCCGACATCATGTTATCCTATTCCTAATTATCCCGACATCATGTTATCCTATTCCTAATTATATCCCGACATCATGTTATCCTATTCCTAATTATCCCGACATCATGTTATCCTATTCCTAATTATCCCGACATCATGTTATCCTATTCCTAATTATCCCGACATCATGTTATCCTATTCCTAATTTATAGAACAAATAATTTTTAAATCACACTTTAAAGGACTGTAAGATTAATTTTAAGTGACTCTCCATGCAAAGATGACAATGGAAGCTTCGTCTGAATAAGAATGAATTAGAATATCAATGTTTAAATTTTTTTAAGTGAGTTGCACATTTTAACTGCAGTACAACATATATGAATATACAGAAGAGAGACACTTTTAAACCTAAAAAAACAACAATATCTTCAAAATTATTACTTATATAAAATTTACAAGGGTACAATTGCGAATCGAAAATTGGCATCGTTGCATGGAGGGTCAATTAAAATTAAGCTTACAGTCCATTTTATAGATATGAGAATGGATATCAACCTGAACCTTTTAGTGGGTGCTCTTTTCTACCAACACCACAGAGGAAACTATCTCATAATCTATATATAAATTTAGCTTTTCTGTCCGTCTATTTGTTTGTGTCAAATAAACGTCAGAACGGCTGAACCAATCGGACCCAAATTTTGTTTGGGACCTCACGTGACCCCAAGGAAGGTATATGAATGATCAAAATTTAAAAAATTTATGTTTAAAAGTTTTTTGTTTTCATAAAATTTTGAAAATGGCAAAAAAATATTATGAAATCCGAAAACTTTTTTTTTGTTTTTGTTATTTTCACAGATGTTCACAGATAAAGCCACAATTAAAAGTTGTTAAAGGAGATGGGCGCGAAGCGCCCTAAAAGCTTAGTATTTTTAAATAATAGTAATAATTTTTCATTCTTTTAGGTCATTTTTAGCCTATATTTTCATAAATTTGGCAAAGTGTATGAAGCGCAAATATTTTCTTATTTACTATTCTTAACATTTCCCATTTAAACTATGCTAAATGCTTACCCTGAGTCCTGACAGAAGATACATGCAAAAAACTATAATTTTCCCGTTTTTAGGACAAAACTATTGAAGATACATGCAAAAAACTATAGTTTTTCTATTTTTAGGACAAAAATATTTAAGATACATGCAAAAAACTATAGTTTTCCTGTTTTTAGGACAAAGATATTGAATATACATGCAAAAAACTATAGTTTTCCCGTTTTTAGGATAAAAATATTAAAGATACATGCAAAAACCTTTAGTTTTCCTGTTTTTAGGACAAAGATATTGAAGATACATGCAAAAAACTATATAGTTTTCCTGTTTTTAGGACAAAAATATTGAAGATACATGCAAAAAAATATAGTTTTCTGTTTTCAGGACAAAGATATTGAAGATACATGCAAAAAACTATAGTTTTCCCGTTTTTAGGATAAAAATATTGAAGATACATGCAAAAAACTATAGTTTTCCTGTTTTTAGAAAAAAGATATTGAAGATACATGCAAAAAACTATAGTTTTCCCGTTTTTAGGACAAAGATATTGAAGATACATGCAAAAAACTATAGTTTTCTTGTTTTTAGGATAAAAATATTGAAGATGCATGCAAAAAACTTTAGTTTTTCCCGTTTTTAGGATAAAAATATTGAAGATACATGCAAAAAACTATAGTTTTCCCGTTTTAAGGATAAAGATATTGAAAAGTTTCATAAAAGAAAACTTTAACACAATACAGTTTTCAATTTTTTCTTAAAGTTTAAAATCAATCCTTAACGAATAACACAATTTTTCTTAATTATAATTTTGTTTTATAAATGTTGCGAACATTCTTTTCTCCGTGTGAATAGAATATGAATTAATGATTTTAATAGCAGTAAACTTTTTAAATTTAAGTAACAAACATTAACCTATCGTCAGCAGCTAACAAACCTTTTTTGGATAATTTATGCTCCTATATAAATGCAAAAATATAAGAATAACAAATGCCAAATGATCAAAAATCTTTAAATGATCAAAAAATGTACGCTAAACAGTTAGGACAACTATTTTTTTGTTCAAAAATATCATACAATTTTACAATAGAGTTAATTTTAAAGTTTAAGGTATTCTTAAACATACTTTTCTGATAAAACGTCTGTAAAATGTAAGCTCTCTCTTTCACGCAATCTATTTCTTCTTCTCTCTCTTCTCTTCTATTTTCTTCTCTTCTCTTCTATTTTCTACTCTTCTCTTCTATTTTCTACTCTTCTCTTCTATTTTCTACTCTTCTCTTCTATTTTCTTCTCTTCTCTTCTATTTTCTACTCTTCTCTTCTATTTTCTACTGTTCTCTTCTCTTTTCTTCTTTTTTTCTTTTCTTTTTTCTTATTTTTTCTTTTCTTCTCTTACCTTCTCTTCTGTTCTCTTATCTTTTATCGTCTCCTCTTTGCTTTCTCTTTGTTGTTGTCATTTAACCGGTTTTGAGATGAACATTGCAGTACGATCAGGGAGTAAGGAATAGAAGGGAGATATAACTGACGCGGTTCGCCCTACCATATGATTATACATGCTTTGCAGACGGTACTTAATTTTAATAAGAAATATTTGACTGATGTACAATTACTGCGTATACAATAACCTTTTCTGAATATTTCATATACAAATGGAGTACCCGTCTGCAAAGCATGTATAATCATATGGTAGGGCGAACCGCGTCAGTTATATCTCTTTTCTATGTCTTACTCCCTGAGTACGATCCGTTGTTATGATTTTTCTCTGATTTGTTTACATTTCTAGCTTGTAGACCTAATTGAAATGTACTGTGTTTGTACTGTATAATTCGGTATTTGATCATTTGGCATTTGATATTTTGATATTTTTGCCTATAAATATATTGATTTAGTTGCCTTCAGTATTAGCTACGAACAAAATGCCAATCAAAACAAATATCATCTATAAGTATAAAGCAGTAATCTCTTTTTGTTTGTTTGTATGTTCGATCACAACTCATCAGTCCTTTTACCGATTTGCCTCAAATTTAGATTGGAGAACCACTGGAATGTTCTTAGGTTGTTTTTAAGTTCTAGAAAAGTGGGTTTACTTTTGTATCAAAATATTGTATAATACTTAATTATACTTGTTTAATTGTCTAGGAGCGAAAACTTTTATAAGGCTCACTTCAATCCACAATAAAATGAATATAAATACATAAGATGAGAAAGCCTCGTTTAGTTTCAATCCTCGTTGCAGTTTGTCAATGATAGAGACTGCTCTGAACCAGAATGGAATGTCCTGGGAACAGGTATTTACGATTTTGTTTGAAAATATATGAATACATAGGAAGAGTGCATGAAATTTCGTCTAGAAATTTATTTAAAAAAAAACCAACTTTAATGCCTCATCATTGGTCTGCAAAAAAAAGAAAGCTGCTGACAAAACGATACTATACTCCGAATGTATGATCTCCTTCTGGTGAAATTTATTTACGGTTTTAACCCTTGATTTTTCATACTTTTTGATATAACCGATTTCATTGTTCAAAATATCAAAGGTCTACGACATCGGGTTTCAAAGTGGGGATGAAAAAATTAAAGTGAGTGGCAAAAACTCAATTCCTTTACTTTAGGATGTTACCAGGAATGGGTTTGTAACCCTGGAATACAATGGCGTAAATTCCACTTGCTACAGGTATGTATACAGGGAGAACCAAAATAAAATGTAATCCTTATCTTCATTTTGTTAAAGTAGAGCAATAGCTAAGAATCAATGAGACTGTAGAGTGGTTAGTATGGTTATTATTGTATAAACTTCAAGTATTCCTTCATTTAAAGATGGCAATTTTTGATTGACAGTGCATGGTGCCCCTTAAAGCTTTGTCTGATCAAGTATAATAACTTTACGATATGTTTATATATGTTTACGCCGGCCATTAGATTGAAAAGATAAAAAGATAAAACAAGTTTGTGGCCAGTAATCAATTCTTTTTATCAATTAACAGTTTTTTCATTTTTATTTTCATTTTTACTATTATTATTATTATTATTATTCCTATTATCATTATTAGTATATATATTGCTCAATTTTAAAAGACTGCAAAAAACGAAATATTTAAGTAGATTAATTAGGTTTATGTTTAATTAAACAAAGAGTGCTTATGTCAATCTTCTTCAAAATCAAGCACAATCCCTTTTTATTCCTTAATTAAAAATTAAATTTTTTCTTCAGGAATACCCCTTCACTAGAGAACCATGGTTGGTGTGGGGTCTGTGATACTGTAAGATATTTTGACAAAAAAAATAGAAATAAAGTTTAAAAAAAACGAAAAATTGAGTTTTTGCCACAAAATCAAGTTTTCTCATTCCTATATTTTTACAACCTGATGGTGGAAACCTTTGATATTCCAAACTTAAATTATTTGGTCTAAGATAATTCATAGTTTGAAATGAAAGGTTTACACCATCAGGTTTATTAGATATTGGGTTTAATAAATCAAATTTGTGGCAAAGACACAATTTCTTTGTCATTTTGAAGAATATCGAGTACGTATGTATAAAATAGAATATAACAGAATATAGAAGAATGTATAAATATATGATTAGCGTTCAATTTAACCCTATCCTGGTCGGGTTATTTTTTTCTAAAATAAGTGGGGGTGGGATGTTACATTGAGTGTGTGTGATTTTCTCAACACCTCCCCCCCAGTGGGGTATTAAAGATTAAAGATTGAAATATCAGGGTCCAGGGCCCACTACAACATAAAGATTAGAATATCAGGGCGGAAACTTTGGTGGGTGCTATAAAAAGCATATTTACTTATGATAAGGAAAACACATAAGCTAATGGGGTATTTATTTTCCCCTAACTACTATATTTACAGTTTATCAAAAAACCATCCTTCTGGCTAGGATTGCAGTATAAATTGTAGCTTGCATTGGTTTATAATGATTTCCAGACATCCGTTGTTAGAACCCTTCACTGAAAAACCAGTATTTAATATTATCTTCTTAGTAACCTTTTTAATATCCTTCCAGGATTCCGCCATTTCCGCCATTTGTCCGCCTCCATTTCCTGATATTCTCTAATCTTCATGTAGTAGTGTGCCCTGGACCCTGATATTCTAATCTTCATGTTGTAGTATTATCAATTTTATTTTCAATTGGTGACCCATAAAGGATGAGACTGTAAAGACGACTTTAAACTCTTTAAATATGTCATGTCTTGAACTTTGAACTAAAATGGCGTATTTAATTGGGTGACAAAGAAAGAACCCAGTAGTTTAAGGTTTCCAGGAATTGCAAATGGAAAGAAAAAGCTGTAGTTTAAATTTTTTACATGTCTCTGAAATCTCATCCTTTGTAAGTAAGCCTGTAGCTTAAAAAATGGGGGAATTTTTTTATATTTCACGGGCAACGCCGGGCAATAAAATCATAATTTAATACAATATGCGAGTAAACGGCAGGAGTAACTATGACTGTAAATTAATAATAATATAAACCTGGGCAAGGACGGGTTCTCCAGCAAGTTATGTTATCATTATTATTATGTTATGATTATTTTTATCATTCGAAAATATGTAATTATTATAATTTTAATTATTACAAATATTATTTTTATAAATTTTATATTAATTTTATAAAAAAAACTCTTGTTTAATTATTTTACCGCCTTTTGACCAACATTACCGACCTATGATTCCCCTAACCTCCCCCTAGGTTAGATTACTTAACGTCCCTAGAGATAATTAAATAAAATAAAGACCTGCTCTGTGAAGTTTTCATGAAAAAATTCGCGCATTTTTATCTTAAAAACGATCAAATTGTGGACAACTACTCTTTTGGGAAATTAACAATCTTACTACAGTGAAACCCTTAATAACGAGTACATCGGAAGAATTTATCAAATGCCGTCTTGACAATTTTTCAATGAGTTTTATACTATATTACGTACATTTCAGTATATGCGAAAATAAATAGATAGCCATGAATATGCGAGAAATGTTTTAAAGAGTTCCACATAATCATTTAATTAAAAAACTAAATATCTGCAATATTCCATTATCAGAAAGTGTATAATACGACATTTGATGAATTCTTTCGATGTATTCGTTAATAAGGGTTTCACTGTAGGAACCCTTGTTATTGTAAAAAGTAAAATTCCTTTAACTTCCTCGTAGAATAGTTGTAAATAATTTTATTTCTTTTGTGAATAAATATTTTTGTCTAGATCGGTATTGGTCGCAGTTTGCAAGAAACCACCATTAGAGCATACAGGAACTAATTCTTAAAGATAACATTTTTTTATAGAAAACTTTTAATGTTTGACCATTTAGTAATGAACAGTGTTTCAAGATCAACAAAGAGAAATTGAACTTTAATCCAAAAACTGAAATTTGCGGAGGTTAGTGTAACCAAATAGATTTTAGTACAATAGATGGCAACGTAGAATTTCTCTCTTAGTACAGGCTACAGCTGTATTCTGACGTCACAAGTGTCAATTCAGTTTTTGCGTCCGGCAAAGTTGTAAAAAAAGTGATAATTTTAGAATAAAATGCTTATCTGACATTAAAATAAGTGCAAAATTATTTGTTTTTTTTTTATTTTCTGTTTTTACACTTTTTTATTTAATCTTGGAAAACAGATCAACAAATATGAGAAAATTTCGTTTTCCTTGTTATATTTAACACTTGTGGCGGCGCGTATAATTGGTCCATTTCTCTGTTGCCACCTATTGTACTGGATAATCTATTGGAGTGTAACCCATTAGTGACGAGACGGTCAGTTTTAACCGGGTAAAGTTTTTTATTATATACGATACAGGGGGTCATTGGACATTTAACAATAGTTTGTCGGATTCACAGTTGTATCCTTGACATATAAGCAACAATAAAAAATATATTGTCGTTTTTCTATCTTTAAACGTGCTGAATTTGTCAAATTTTAAATGCCAAATTGTATAAATCCTCAAATCTTCCTCCCTAATATAGAAACAATAATAGAAAATTTCCATTTTCCAGATTGAAAAAAGAAACACAACTCTATTTTGGTCTTTTTCGCTCAAACATCGGTTTAAAGAGTTGTCAATTTTTAATGTCATGCAGTTTAACTCGGAACTTTGGCTATATTGAAAATTCTTCAAAGAATTTATAATATGTCGTCTTCAAACACTTCTGATTATGGAATGCTGCAGATATTTAATTTGTTTATTGAATAATTATATGAAGCTCTTTAAAAAGGTTCCAGCATGTTTCATGGCTATTTATTTATCTTAACAATTACTGAGAATAAGTTATATAAAAATATAAAACCCAATACAAATTTGTTAAGACGAACTTAACTTAACTTAAGACAGGATATTTTATCATGAAAACCAGTTTTAGAACCCGGGTTTTATAAATGGGGTTAGGCAGTTTTGTGGATATCAACATTTTGCTATGAAATATTATTTTATTCAGTTTCTTCGTATGCTCCATTTTTTTCGAATCTCATAAATCAAAATCTACACAAAGGAAACTCGAGAGTTTCGTTCAACAAAACTCTTTTAAATTTCAGGCTCTAACTTATTGAAAGAAGACAGCGAACTTAAACTTATATTTTGTTGCAGCTTCATATTTCGGGGGAAAGTTTTTTTATTTTTAGCGCACGTTTGGAAAAGAAAATCAATTCACATCAAACAAATCAAAAATAAGAAGAGAAACAAAATTTATGAGGTAAGGATTATTTTTTTAATCTCTCAATTTATCAATTTTTATTTGTTGTGTTGACATGTTACACATTAAGAGAAGATCTATGTTTCCTTTTCACTTATCATAATATAATGAATGAGTTGAAAAAAGGCTGTTATAAGATGAGATACGATAAGATAAGATAAGATAATACAGTGAAACCCTTAATAACGAATACATCAAAAGAATTCATCAAATGTCGTATTCTTCACTTTCTGATAATGGAATGTTGCAGATATTTGGTTTTTTAATTAAATGATTATATGGAACTCTTTAAAACTGTTCCCGCATATTCATGGTTATTTATTTATTTTCGCAAATACTGAAATTTACGGAATATAGTATAAAACTCATAGAAAAATTGTCAAGACGACATTTTATAAATTCTTCCGATGTATTCGTTATTAAGGGTTTCACTGTATAAGATAAAGTTTATTGCTAAAATACATGTATCTGTATACAGAACAAGTTTACAATTACAAATTGATGATTATTTTAACAATTAAGGTATAAAGCAATCAGATGGAAAATAGCTCTTGGCTGTTTTGATTATTTTTTCCTCCTAATTTTAATAATGATAATAAAACATTTCAATTTAATAGATTTAGGGAGAACTATAGGTTTTATTTCACAAGGCTTTTGGATGGTCTATGTTTTTAATGTCTTCAAAATAAGCAGTTTTAATAGTTTATTTTAATTGAAAATTTGACAAATTTCCGAATGTCTCAGCTTGAACTTTAAAGCAAAAATAACAAATTTTTATTTTGAAAGCTTTAGATATTCACAGTTTTGATGTATAGAATCAAATTAGGAAATGAACCTTGTAAGTTTAATTTGATACTTAAAAGTAAAAGCCTAACAAAAAGGTGTACGAAAATAATCATCGATTTTATTGTTGAAAAGAGTAAATTTGATATTTACTTCATATAGTTGGTACAAAACCTTGAATTAATTGTCGTCTTCCTGTTTAGGGAAATACAGGGTGTCCAACTGTGGTGTTATTTCTGGGTAAACGTTAAATAATGGTAGTGGACTCTACGTAGCAAATTTTCCGCGGCATCCGCGCATATTTTTGCAGTTTACGGCAATGTGAACAACAGAATTCTGGTATTTTATCTGAAATTTCAAAATTAGAATTTATATTTATACACTTAAAATATACACTTTATACTTTATAATGTGAGTACAGAAGTAATTAACTCTCATTTGTTGCAAGTATCAGAATCTTAACAATAAACTTACTAAAACTAAGCAGTGAGCTGTAATATCGATCCCTAATGTTAACACAATTGATTATTATACTGTCTGTCGCTCAGCAAAACTTTATTGATTCTCAAATATGAGAAATACTTTCACTTCATTTACTGTTTACATTCACAGAATTGTGCGCGAATGCCGCGGAAATTTGCTGCGTAGAGACTACTACCATTATTTAACGTTTACCCAGAAATAACGCCACACCACAAAATACGGAAATATCCGAAGAATTTTATAATTTGCTTTTGCAATTTGTAGCTATTTTCAATAATTTTCATGTCAGGGTTCCTAATAATAAGTATTTCAAAAAAAATTCTTTTTTTCACTATGTAAGATGTGACCCTAAGAGAAAATACACGCAGTAATATTACTATACACTAACCGGGCCAGTACTAGTAAACCTGTATACACGCAGTATGATTACTATACACTAACCGGGCCAGTACTAGTAAACCTGTATACATGCAGTATGATTTTTATACACTAAACGGGCCAGTACTAGTAAACATGTATACCCGCAGTATGATTTCTATACACTATAGGGGCCAGTACTAGTAAACCTGTATACCCGCAGTATGATTACTATACAGTATACACTATATGGGCCAGTACTAGTAAACATGTATACACGCAGTGTGATTTCTATACACTATAGGGGCCAGTACTAGTAAACATGTATACACCCAGTATGATTACTATACACTATATGGGCCAGTACTAGTAAACATGTATACACGCAGTATGATTTCTATACACTATACTGGCCAGTACTAGTAAACATGTATACACGCAGTATGATTACTATACACTATACGGGCCAGTACTAGTAAACATGTATACACGCAGTATGATTACTATACACTATACGGGCCAGTACTAGTAAACATGTATACACTCAGTATGATTACTATACACTATACGTGCCAGTACTAGTAAACTTGTATACACGCAGTATGATTACTATACACTATACGGGCCAGTACTAGTAAACATGTATACACGCAGTATGATTTCTAGACACTATACGGGCCAGTACTAGTAAACCTGTATATACGCAGTATGATTACTATACACTATACGGGCCAGTACTAGTAAACATGTATAAACGCAGTATAATTACTATACACTATACGGGCCAGTACTAGTAAACCTGTATACACGCAGTATGATTTCTATACACTATACGGGCCAGTACTAGTAAACCTGTATACCGGCATTATGATTACTATATACTATACAGGCCAGTACTAGTAAACCTGTATACCCGCAGTATGATTACTATTTACTTTGGATGATGCAATGATTTGACTGGTGTTTCTAGGCTACAAAGATGGTAACTGAGATAACTGGGGCAACTGATGCATGTCAAGGGGACTCAGGGGGTCCCTTAGTTACATTGCAAGGTACATTTTAAGAAAACTTTGAATATTTTGTTGTAATTGACCAACCATCTATCTAAAGAGGGGCATGTCCAGGGGGCATGTCTGATTCATTTAGATCCTAATAATTCCTATTCAAATCCTAATATTCAATGTTTAGATCCTGAAAATCTCTGTTTAGATCCTCATAATTCCTATTTAAATCCTGATAATCCATATTCAGATCCTGATAATCTCTGTTTAGATCATAATAATTCCTATTCAAATCCTAATAATCCATATTCAGATCCTGATAATCTCTGTTTAGATCCTAATAATTCCTATTCAAATCCTTATAATCCATATTCAGATCCTGATAATCTCTGTTTAGATCATAATTATTCCTATTCAAATCCTTATAATCCATATTTTAATCATAATAATCTCCAGTTACATCATAATAATCTCTTTTTAGATACTAGAAATCCCTATTTAGATCCTAGTAATCCCTATTTAGATTATAATAATCCATATTTAGATCGTAAAATTCATCTTTAGATCCTTGTAAATCCTATCTAGATCCTGGGTATCTATATTTAAATCCCATTTAGATCATAATAATCTATATTTAGATCCTAGTAATCCCTATTTAGATCCTAGATATATATATTTAGATCCNATCCTAGTAATCCCCATTTAGATCATAATAATCCCTATTTAGATCCTAATAATCCCTATTTAGATCCTAGATATCTATATTTAGATCCCATTTAGATCATAATAATCTATATTTAGATCCTATTAATCCCTATTTAGATCCTAGTTATCTATATTTAGATCACATATAGATCCTAAGAATTCATATTTAGATCCTACTTATCCCTATTTAGATCCTAATCATCTATATTTAGATCCCATTTAGATCTTAATAATCTATATTAAGATCCCATTTAGATCCTAATAATCCATATTTAGATCCTAGTAATCCCTATTTAGATCATAATAATCTATATTTAGATCCTAGTAATCCCTATTTAGATCCTAGTTATCTATATTTAGATCCCATTTAGATCCTAATGATCCCTATTTAGATCATAATAATGTATATTTAGATCCTACTAATCCCTATTTAGATCCTAGTTATCTATATTTAGATCCCATATAGATCATAATAATCTATATTAAGATCCTAGTAATTCCTATTTAGATCCTATAGATATCTATATTTAGATTCCATTTAGATCATAATAATCTATATTTAGATCCTAGTAATCCCTATTTAGATCCTAGTTATCTACATTTAGATCCCATTTAGATCCTAGTAATCTATATTTAGATCCCATTTAGATCCTAATAATCCATATTTAGATCCTAGTAATCCCTATTCAGATCATAATAATCTATATTTAGATCCTAGTAATCCCTATTTAGATCCTAGTTATCTATATTTAGATCCTAATAATCCATATTTAGATCCTAGTTATCCCTATTTAGATCCTAGTAATCCCTATTTAGATCCTAGTAATCCCTACTTAGATCCTAGTCGACCAAACAAGACAGTTCTTATCGGAGTAATAAGCCGAGGAGATCCTAGTAATCCCTATTTAGATCCTAGTAATCCTTATTTAGATCCTAGTAATCTATATTTAGATACCATTTAGATCATAATAATCTATATGTAGATCCTAGTAATCCCTATTTAGATCCTAATAATCCCTATTTAGATCCTAATAATCCCTATTTAGATCCTAGTAATCCCAATTTAGATCCTAGTAATCCCTATTTAGATCCTAATAATCCCTATTTAGATCCTAGTAATCCCTATTTAGATCCTAGTAATCCCTATTTAGATCCTAGTAATCCCTACTTAGATCCTAGTCGACCAAACAAGACAGTTCTTATCGGAGTAATAAGCCGAGGAGAAGGATGTGCTATGAATGGATTTACAGGTTAATTACAAATAAAAGAAATGTTGACCCATGTAAAGTTTAACTTATACTGTACTTGAGGGTAAAACTTTTGGGTTGAGATGGAGATGGAGAGCCTTAACTTGATATTAAAGCAGACACTTTTAATTCTATGGAATGAATTATTATTTATGTTTATATTGTACACACTACATTCAATCTGTTTATTGTACTCTATATATTTATAATACTCCCTCTATATATCTATTGTACTCTATATGTTTATTGTATTCCATATGTGTATTGTATTCCAATTATTCTATATATTTATTTTATTCTATTGTTTATTGTACTCCCTGTATTCCTTAAATCCTGGTTTTTAATTTGATATTTCTAATTTCAGCCACATATACTAGGGTATCCGCTTTCTACAACTGGATTGGCAAGTTTTATATTTAAAATACAATTATATAATTATAGTTATCAACTTTATTTTATAGTTGATTCGATCCAACAGGAAGATGAAAAATACTGGAAGTGCAAAAAATAAGGTGATAATCTATTATAGGCGTGCGACACAATTTTAGTTAAAGGGAGTGACCGGCTATGTAAGGTAGTTGAACTGAGTATGCAGTGTTGCGGAAAACTTCTTTCGGTTTCATTTGAGACACATTAAACTTTTCAAAGATCTGTAAATCCTGAGTTTGAGCGCAAATTCGACGTTCAAAACTCCTACTTTGAGGGTGGATACGTTTTCAGTATTTGTTTTTTAAATTATTAAATAACGACGACATAAAATGTAAAAATGTTCTACGATAAACAACAGATGCCATGCAATGATTTTGCCTCTATAGTCTTCTTGAGCTCTGAGTGCCAGAAATGGTGGTGAGCATGAAAATCTCCAAAGATGATGGATGTATCATTTAGATCGACATTAATTTGATTTGAGGGCATGGTGTATCCCTGTGATCAACTGCTAATTGGAGGAGTGTAGAGTTGTGAGTGACTTGCAATAGAGAAAATTAATTCCTCTAGGTGAGGGTCGTTTTTTAGACTAGAAGGACAGGGAACTTGATGGAACGGATGTGGTTGTGTATGAAAAAGGCAACACCTCCTCTTGGTCTGTATCTCTATTCTTTCTAATCAGTGTGAAATTTAGAGTTGGTCTTAGTTTTGATTTTGAAGTGAATTTTGTTTCCTGGATACCAGCAATATGTATTTTGTTTTTCTTCATGTAGTGGAGAATTTCTTCAAGTTTGTTTGTTTGGATTTCATTAATATTTATTTGGAGTATGTTGAGGTCTTGATCGTATTGTTGGTTAGGAGGAGGGACTGTTGAGGTTGTGTTTGTAACTGTGGGGGAGCAGAGGATTGTGGTCTTGATGCTTCTTTTTTTAATAAATTAAGAAAAAAAGAAAATAGTTTTGATCCACAACTTAATGTAACATACTTTATATATTTTCAGGTTTCTACAGTGAATTGAACAGCACTGTTGTTCTAATAACAGAAAAATAAATAAATATGAAATAAAATGTTTTTTTTCGGTTTCGTAAAAGAGAGAGATTAAACATATATTTTATTTGAAAACTTCAAACTTAAAAAAAAACTATGTCATACAACCCTTTAAAGATGATTAAGAAAAATATGAAAAAAATAACCATTTTAGAAAGAAATAACACCAAATGTCTTAAAAATGTTTCATTCGATTATTTTTAAGAGAAAATTACATATCTATCTGTAAACATATCCGAAAAGTACTCAATTTAAACTAAATAAACATGTAATAATAATAGAGACATATTAAACTGTGGTGCAGTTTTTATTAATTTCTCTTACACATGTTGGTACGCTTTTTGGTAATTTTTACCTATGTTTTCTTCTAAGATCAAACTTTCATAATGTTTTGTTTTGAACATTTGCGGTTCTTGAAGTATATCAAATGTTGACCCAGACAGAAGATATAATCAAAATTGACACCAAAACGATTCAAAAAACGATGCAAAAACGAACGTTATTGTAATTTTTGGATCGTTTAGGATCGTTTTTCCAATTTATATTCTTTTTTTTTAATAAAGATATTGCAAAGTTTAATTCATAAAAGCAAACTTGAACATAATACAGTTTGTAATTTTTAGAAGTTATATATTTGGTTTTTAAATGATCCTACATGATTTATAGTACTTTACATATGTCAAATAATGAAAAAACGATATTTTCTTTTTAAATCTAAATATTTTTTATTTCCATTTGTAATCTTTTTAGTTTCAAAAGAATGAATTCTACAATTGGGTGAAAATTTAGAAAAGAATATATATATATAAATGAAGGGGCATGTGTTAGTTGGAAAAGGAAAAAAAACCTCAGAACAACACTTACAGTTATGTCTAAAAAGATAAGGGTGGGGGTGAGGGGGGGGGTCCTGCAGTAGGAATTGGGTAAAATACCTGATTTCATCATTATTAAATAAATCCTAAAGAAATTATGAATTACACATATTTAACCCTATTTTTAGTCCAACATATCAAAAATCTAAATTTAAAAAAAAAATTAAAAGTATATTTGAAATATGGCAGAAATTGATAATATAATGAATAGTTTATCTGATCATCTGACGAACGGATTCTGACCATGCCATTTCAAAGAAATTGAGTTTTTGCCACAAACTCTGATTTATTAATCCTTTTATCTTTGTAACCCAAAGTCGTAGACCTGAGATGTTTCAAACTATGAATTCTATAAGATACAAATAACGAAGGTTGAAATATCGAAGGTCTACGACGATTGGGTTAAAAAGATAAAGGAATGAGAAATTTTGAGTTTGTGGCAAAAACTCAATTCATTTTGCGAAATTTTTCTAATTGTTCTAGATAAAAGAGAATGCCCAAATTTAAAGGACCAAAAGTATTTAAAACTTTAAAATAAATATTTGTTTACAACCTTAGTCGTGAGACCGTGGGTCTGTTTTTTATCTACTTGAGCTTTTAGATGTTTACAGCTTCACTCATTTTACAGCTTTCAATCAGTTTTTATCTAACTTGGAATTTTCGGTCGAGGACAATAATTTAAAAGAGAAACATAACACACACATTTAAAATTCGGTGATGGTGATGGACCAAACCTCTGTAGAGTAAACGAAATAATAACCATCAAAATCGAAAAAAAAGAAAAAAAAATTGTTAAAAACCACAAGAAAATAAAAAAACAAAAAAGATTATTTAATAAATTGGGGTTGTCAAATGGAGATAAGGGAAACGAACTCAGATTATGAGATGGAAAAAAGATAATTTGCAAATATTCACTTTAAATAAAATGTTTTAAGACAATCATTATTCCTTGAGATTGTTTCTGTCACAAAGGTTAAAAACAAACTGTTTAGATGTATGTGTATAAAGTGGTGGTGGGGGTATATGCTTTTCTATATTTTTTTAGCAGAAACTCAAAATTAATGACGATTTTATTCAAAACGTTTTACAAGTTTCCATTTTCTAAAATTTATAATTTTTCTTTTGATTGAGGACTGGAACTATACCATACAGTAGGAATGGAACTATACCATACAGTAGGACTGGAACTATACCATACAGTAGGACTGGAACTATACCATACAGTAGGACTGGAACTATACCATACAGTAGGACAGGACTGGAACTATACCATAGTAGGACTGGAACTATAACATACAGTAGGACTTGAACTATAACATACAGTAGGACTGGAACTATAACATACAGTAGGACCTATAAAACTGTGGAATAGAAATACATTTATAACTCTAGTAAATAATTTCAAATATGGAAATGAAATAAAATAAAGCAAATATACAATATAAACAGATCTATTACACTTACTAAGGTGATTTTGAAGGTACAGGTTTAACTAACAAATGCACAAAATATTTCTGACATGTCGTCTTCATATTCTATAGTTTTATGGGTCTTGCTGTATTGGGTCATCAATATTAATAAACGTTAGACATGAATTTTTTGTTTGTTGATTTTATTTTAATTAATTTTGTAATAATTTCTCTATCTCTTTGAGTTTTATTCATGAAAAACGTTTCTAAGCACCCCCCCCCCCTAGCTCTGGCAAAAATGTATTTCTGGAGTTAGGTCAACGTTCTGCTGTGTGTCTGTGTGTAAAAAGTTTCCTCCAGTTCTAGGTTACGTCAGGATATTCGTCCTGACAGTGCAATACCACACCCGGAGCTGATCCGTCCGAACCAGTAACTCCGGGTTGGAATATAGCGTGAGCTAAAACACAATTTTGACTTAATTCTAGCTTGGGAATGGGAACCTAGAGCTCTCAAATACAAATTCAAGATTCTAAATCTAGTATTTTAACTACTTCAAATCTTCTTTGTATATTGTATATTGTCTTTTCTACACAAATCCCACAAGTGATACAAAAAACTTGAATTTCTTTTTTAAAAATGTCAATCATGAAACTATGTCAATTATGTCAATTATGAAAAACCAAATACTTTAATGCCCGAATATGCCAAAAAAAGTGTTCATGAAATTTTTTTTTGTTTAACACTAATTTTATTTACCTACTATAGAGGACGTGAGTCAGACTCTAATAAAAACGCATAAATAACTTCCAGTATATATATTTCTTATAACTTAGGGGTTTCTGAGGAGGCAGCAGAACCCATGATCAGGCCGCGTACCGAGACCATAATCTTCTGGGGAAGTTTCTGTACGATGTGGTCGAATTTGGTTATTGACAGTGTGATATGGGCATTTCAGAAGGCCGCCTCTGCATGAAGGAACCACAGGTCGGGGTCATCTGTCCAGAAATCCGGGAGCTTGACGGAGACTTTGGTGACGAACTCGGTTATAGTTTCTTTCTTGTCGGTCATGATGCTGAGATGTATCACTTAATGTTCAAAGTTCAAGAAAATCACGAAACTGGATAGCGTTTAACTGTATGTTCAAAGTGGGGGGTCACCAATATAGAGGACGTGAGTCAGACTCTAATAAAAACGCAAAAATAACTTCCAGTATATAAATTTCTTATAACTACTATAATTACTAGAGGGTTCAGAACTAGAGTCAATATCGATATCACACGTGTAGATGTTTTATCAGTACTATGCCCCGTATCCGTTCTATCTCATTCTGTTGAATCTTGTGGAACTTGTTTAACGCGGCCAGGCATCGTCTTCCACACTACACTGTTTTAACTTTTTTTTAAATTTCTAAGTTTTGAATTCTTTTTTTCATTGAAAAACTTAATTAACTTATTTAACTTAATTAAATGGAGAGGAAATAATTTTTTTTTTCGTAGAAAAAGCTTATAAAAACCAGAAAAAATTTTTAATTTCAAAATTTGATCGTATATCCCCACCCCTTATCGTCATAAATTTGTAGCCAATAAAGTTTTAACCAATTTTTAGGATTGGGTTAGTTTAAACACGTTACTGGACCGAGTGCTACGGCTAGGACAGGATTTGAAGCCCAGTTCTACACAAAGAATTTTTTAAAAGTTTTTAAAACATTTCTTTTCTATAAAATACCATTTTTTCTGTTTCAAAGTTTCTGACTTTAGATCGTTTTTAAACAAACCCCAACCCTACTCTCTAGCACTAGAATTATATCATTTTCTTCTCAAGTTATTTCGCCTAAAACTTTGGCATCATCAGGAGTTCATAATATCTATATATAAATTTGGCTTGTCTGTTTTCTGTTTGTATCAAATAAACGTCAAAACGGCAGAACCGATCGGGCCCAAATTTTTTGTGGGACATCACGTGACCACAGGGAAGGTTTATGAATGATAAAAATAAAAAAATGTGTTTTAAAGGTTTTTAATTTTTTAAAAATATTTAAATTCTTGAAAATCCGCGAATTTTTCTTAAAAATCTGCAAAATTATTTTATTCTTTGTTTTAAAATGTAAACAAAAAGAACATGTTCACAATTTAAATAGAAGATGGGCGCGAAGCGACCTAAAAGCCTAGCATGTAATAAAGTTTCAAGCGAGCAATGACACCGAAAAACGTGTCGATAAATCGTTTTCTAAGAAATTATCCTGATGTTGATTTAGTGAATCAAAAATGTTTTTATCTATTTATTCATTTCTTAATTTTGAAAATTTGAACTGTTTTATGGAAACCTGTTGTAGCCTAATGTCGTGTTTCTATTTCTAATATTTTACAGTTTTACTTAAAATTATATGGGCGGCCAGTTTCTTGCTAAAACAGTTCAAATTCCTTCTTCTAGAGGAACTGTTCACCTGATTCTATTTAAAGAAATTGATTATTTGCCACAAACTCTGATTTTATAATTCCTGTATCTTTGCAACCCGAATCCGAATTTAATGAATTTGAGCGGCGTCTCAAATCCGCTAAAATCTGGTGTCAATTGAGTACTGACATTGAATACAATTTTAAGTGGAACCAACTATACTTAGACCTTTGATATTTTAAACTATGAATTTTTAAACTATTAATAAAAAAATCTATTAAGTATAAAAAATAAAAATTTAAATATTCAGAAAAGGAATTGAGTTTTTGCCACAAACTCTGATTTTCT